CTTGCTGTGCAGTTTAGGCTGGCCTTGGGCTCACTTTGTAGCCCAGGCTGGCCTCGAACTTGCAACGATCCTTCTGCCTCAGCCTCCTGAATGCTGGGATTACAGGTGTGCACCACCATGCCTGGCCACTTGACTTATTTATTTGGTACAGGGAATCGAACTTAGCACCTTGTGCTTGCCAGGCAGGCACTTGTGCCACTGAGCTATATCCCCGGCCCCCAAGTACTTTACAATCTTGCCATATTGCGTCTTCAGAACTACCCTCAATTCAGAACTATTCTCTCAATTTAGAGATGAGAAAACCGAGGCATAGTGATTTTCCAGAAGGTTAACAGGTATCCAACCTGGGGTTTTTGAACTCAGACAATCTGGATAGTCTGATTTTAACCACACTGATGATTCTGGCGTCAGCTAGACACACAGAAGCACAGACATTGTCACACAAGTACAAAAGTGGTAGCCACAGTGGGATAATAAATCTTGTCAGTAATGTAAACCAATGGCCAATCTTGTTCTCCACCTACTTCCTACATCCTTATGTACTCTGAAGCACATCCTGTTTTGTTTTCTATTTTTTAATTTGAGACAGGGTCTCACTAGGTAGTTCTGGCTGGCCTGTAACTCACTATGTAGCCCAGGCTGGCCTCAAATTCAAGGTGATCCTCCTGCCTCAGCCTCCAGAGTGCTGGAATTACAGGTGTGTACCACCGTGCCTGGCTCAGCACATCGATTTTGTTAAGTTCCTGAGAGCACACCCTTCCCCACTCTCACTTCAGTGACTGCCAGCTTCGCGGTGCCCAGAGACATGGCACCAACTCCACTATCCACCCTACACGCCCTCCCTCAGTGAGGGTCCCTCCATCATGACTTCTCACCTGGTCCTCCCACCAGGCCTCCTGGAGCAGCCTGCGAACTGACTACCCTACCCTGACCCCAGCTCAGCTCCACCATCTGCTCAGCCACTACCAGCTGGGTCCTGGCCTCAGGCCACCACCTGCCTGGGACCCTCCCCCAGCAGAGCGAGATGTGGTGGCCACAGGTGAGGAGGGGCGGGGGATACAAGCACTGGGGTGTCAGCTTTCTTCTTTCCTCAGGACCTAGGAGTCCATCTTCCCAGCTCCCTCCTTTTGACCGAATTTTCTGGACCGCGAACCCTTTGCTCTCCCGAGATCTAAATTCTGGACCCAGACCCCCTCTCCCTAGGATATAAGTTCAAACACTCAGTTCCTTCGTATTTCTCAGACTCAGATCTCCAGCCCCTTCCACCTTTGATCTCTCGCTCATCTCCGAGTCTCGGCCCCTCCACCCTCAGAAACCCCTAAGACCAAGTACCCGGGCCTTGCTCAGGCACCCAATCACGTCGCCGTTTCCCAGGCAGCCGTGGTTCGCCACAGTCTGACTACAACTCCCATCATGCTCCGGCACCAGAGAGCTGCGTTTCAGTGGAACCCCCTCCTGTAGTTTTTTTCTTCCTTTGGGCGTGGTGCAACCACCTCACACCCGTTTTCACACTAACACATCTTCTTCGGTCTCATAGGGGACATCTTCGAAAGCTTCTCCTCGCACCCTCCCCTCATCCTGCCCCTGGGCAGCCCGCGCCTGCGCCTCACAGGTCCGGTGACGGACGACGCGCTGCACTGTGAGCTGCGTAGGCTCCGTCACCTCCTCTGGGATCTTGAGCAGCAGGAGCTTCCGGCCAATCACCGCCACGGACCTCCCGTGTCCACGCCTCCCTAAAAACCAATAGCAAGCGGGCGCGCGAACCTTGAAAATTCCTCGGTTCCAATTCACTGGAGAGTTGAGCTTTCTGGGAATTGTAGTTCTTGCCCCGTGCGGGAACTAGGAGGCTGTTTTCGGGTAGTAAAGAATGGGACTATGGGAAAGATGGGCTTGGGATGTGAGTGCCAAGGGACAATAAAAGTATTTGTGGTATTGTCAACGCCTCGCTTATTAAGACTCGGGCGTTAGAGACGATTTTGAGGGCGCCAGGCTCTAGCCTGGAGTGTTGGGCCGCCGCCGAGCTCGAGGAGGCTATTTATAGGCACGGCCTCAGCTTGCCCTCTTGCATGAAATCCAACCCAGGAGCACTGGGGCTTCCCGCACACCTCAGAACACAGCCCTGAGCTCGGCCGAATATCGGGCCCGTGGTCCTACAGTGGGAACCTGCTGTCCCTCCCTGCCACCCCCAAGCCCCATATCCAACATATCCCCATTCCCTCCCTCTGACCCAGGCATCTGCGCCCCCCCCCCGCCCCGCCCTGGTCCAAATCTGCGTGCCCGTTGGACACACCCCGAACGCCAACCCCGTTCCTAGCACCTCCTCTCTCAGACCCGTGGGTCCAAACCCCCAGTCCCCTCCTTTCTTAGACCCGGGGTCCGGGCCTTGGGTTTGAACTTTCCCCTCCTCTGAACCTGACTCCTGCTGCTGCGTCAGGGAAAAGAGGGCGACAGGTGGCACCTGCTGGCAGGGCTGGGACACGACCACCTGCTGCTGCTGCTCACCCGCGCCCCTCCGCCCGCACCTGCTCCTGTCTGTCCGCCTGCGGCCGCCGCGCCGACCCACAACCCCAGGAGGCGAGGAGGGGCGAGCCGGGACCGACCCGACGCCCGCCCCGCCCTTTCCCAGGCGCCAGGCGCGGCTCCGCATCCCCCACCCCGCTGCCCAGCTCCCCGCGTCCCAGAAAGGGGCGTCCGAGGCGCCCTAAGCAGGCGGGGCCTGAGGTCTCTGCCCGCGCTGGAGACTCCGCCCGCCCCGGCACAGCTGCGCCTACCCCACCCGGTGAGGAGCCCCTGGGTCGGGGGAGGGACCCCCTTGCACCTCTGCCCCGCTCGGGTCCTGCTCCCTCGTATAAGGCCCTGGGGGCTGCCGCTCAGCCCTTCCGCTCTCACCTGCCTGGACGCCGGAGCCCCTTGACGCCCCAGCTACCTCTCAGGCCCCCTTTCTTCTTCCCACTGAGGATCTTGGGGCATCTCTGACTACTATGTTCCAGCCCTGAACTTCCGGTCCTTCACCATACAGGGCCCAGCTTCTCCCCTTCTTTGCTTTTCAAAGACCCCGAGGTCAAGCTTCCGGGTGGCGGCCTCAGGAACAGCAGCGCTAGACCTCAGGTCTGCCCCATCCATTACTGGGCAGTTGAGGTCCCCAGTCCTCCCTCCTCAGACCCAGGGCTCCAGGCCCTCAGCCTCCTCCCTCGGACCTAGGCATTGGGTGCCCAGGCAGAAGTCATGACCACGGGCTATACCCATCTTGAACTCTCAGGCCTTCCCTAAGTTACCGGCTGCCAGCCTGTGCCCTGCGGGGGGCCCTGCCCTCTCCTCGGTCCAGGTCCCATTCCGGCCTTGGCGATGACCCTGGCGGCTTCCTCTCAGCGCTCCCAAATCATCCGATCCAAGTTCCGATCTGGTGAGAGGCCTCTGCTAAGGGTGGGCTGTGGCCCTGGGGCCCTGGGAATGCTCTTCTCCGGGTGGCAGGGAGCGCCAGGGAGGCTTGGGTTGCCCACACAAAAGGCTGCGTGTGCATAATGGAGTTCTCAGCAGGAGGTTGTGTCTCGGGGATCATGAGTGTGCACACGGGGGGAGGGGCGCCAGACGTGGCGTGCAGGGAGGCAGGCCCGGGGCTCCAGAGGAACAGGGCTTTAACTGACCGGGACGCAAGGCAGAGGACTGGCATAGAGGGTGGTAGGGGCCAATGCGCTATGAAAGCTCAGATGTGTCAGAAGTTATGTTTTCGAGCTGGGCGTGGTGGCCCACGTCCGTCGTCCCAGCACTTGGGAGGCTGAAGCGGGAGGATATCCGCAAGTTTGAGGCCAGCCTGGGCTCCATAGCGAGACTCTGTCTCAAAAAGAAAAAAAAAAGTCACATTTTAGGTCCCAGGGTAGGAAGACAGCTAGTCAATTCCTGAGTAGGCGAAGGGCACCTGAGTGTGCAAAGGAATGTGCTTACGTGGCTCAGTGTGTGCAAAGACATCGTCACCGAAGAGCCAGGAGCGCGTGACAAGGTGTAGGTGTGTGAAGAGCAAAAGCGTGCGACAGGAGATCCGAGACCGAGAGCCAGATCGCAAGTGTGCAAATGAGCGTGCAAATCACATGGCAGCGTGGCTGGGTGGCTGCCAGAGTGCAGTGTGTGTGGAGGTGGGCGCAAATGCACAGAACGGTGGGCGTGCGAGGGGCGACTCTGGCAGGGGCTGGAAGGCGGCTGTGTGTCCAAAGCGGGGGGCACTGGGTGAGGGGTCAAGTGGGCCAGGCCGCTACACTGGCCATTTGCCGGGCGTCGGGTGCGCACACAGGGAAAGGGCAGGTGGAGCTGGGGAGCGGCCTGGCCCCCAGCCCCGGAGCAGCGTGGCTCGAGCGCTGTGCTCAAGGAGGCAGGCGAGGCCCAGGAAGGCAGCGAGCTGCCCACCACCGCGGGGAGCATGAGGGGGCTGAGCACGCGTGTCCACCAAGGACTGCGCTGCCGCCCGCCCGGAGCCGGGCTCCTGGACGCTCCCGTCCCACCTCCCTCCTCCTTCCACAGTCCTCCAGCTGCGAATCCACAGACGGAATCAGGACCTGAGTAAGTGTGGGCCCTGAAAGGGAGGGAGGGCATGGTGGCCTCACTCCTCTGGGACACCCTGCAGTTCTTCCACCAGGTCCCTTACTGGTTCCTGCAGCTCAGTCCCTATGTGTGTGGCCTGGAGTACATGGAAATCCCGTCCTGTCCTTTCCCAGCGACCCAGGAATCCAGGTCCCTGCCGCCCCACCCCTAGGAAAGAGGTATCCCAGGCTCTACCCGCTCCAGACATCTGTGGCCCTCAAGACACCCCTGGGTGACCAAGGACAAAATTCCTGGCTTTTGTATTGTTTGTTTTTGAGACAGGGTCTCGCTATATGAACCAGGCTGGCCTCAAAATTGAGGTGAGCCTCCTGTCTCAGCCTTCTGAGTGCACCACCACTCCTGGCTTCCTGCCTTTCTTGAGAATGTGAAAATCTGAGCCCCTACCACCTCCGCCCTCAGACCCAGGAGTCAGGGTGCCCACCTGACCTCTGCCCGCACACCCAGGCCCCAGGGGCTCCCTTCCCTGTTCCCTAGCGGGCATGCTGTGCCTAGCGTCTCAGGGCCCTCCACTGTCTCTCCAGCCTCAGATCCGGATCCATGGCTCTCAGCCCCAGGCCCGGCCCTGGCTCCAGCCTTGCCCTCCGCCCCAGCCCCTTTCCTCTTCGGCCCTGGGGTCCTGCTCCCTGAGCTGGAGCGGTGCCCGTGGCAGTGCCCGCAGCAGGTGAGTCTGGCCCGAGCGAGGGGACGTTGCCCTGAGACCTAGCGGTGGTCCTTGTCCCTCCCCGGCACCAGGCTGACCCTGGGCTGACCCGGGTGGGACCAGGCACTGAAGCGTAGGTATCACACCTGCCTTTTCAGGAGTCACCCAAGCTCTCCCCACGCTGGAGGGCGCCCAAGCCCCAGGGGACCCTGACCTACCACCAGTACAGGCCCCCGGAGCCAGGCCAGGGCACCAGGGCAGAGCCCCCGAGCGGGCCACCTCAGTGGGATGGGACGAGCTCACAGCAGCCATCTTCCAGGTATGACTCATTTCTGCTCTCTGCAGAGCCGGACTGTCTGTTCCCACCATTCTCCTGCCTC